TGTGACAAACTGTAAAGCATTAACACATCACTGTACCCTGTATGCAAGGGCTGGTTTGCTTTCACTAACTGTACGGAGGCTCAGTCACTGGTACATTTTTACAAAGCCATGTTAGGGAAATTTCCATCTTATATCTGCTCCCTGATCTCACGGAAAATTGTAAGTGGCTACTGCCTGAGATCGAATGCTGTGGTTTTATTAAATGTGCCAACTGCTAGGACTGTCTTAGGGAAGACAGCTTTTAGATGCGCAGCTCCTCTGTCTTGGAATAGTCTGCAAATTAAATCGAAACTGAACAATCTGGTGCCACTAAATGTTTTTAAAGCTTGGTTGGATGCTACTCAATCGGAAGCTATTGGTACCTGTTTATGTGGATAATTATGTAAATGATGCTGTTTGATGTCCTTTTGTTGTTCTATTTATGTTTTTATGTTTCATGTGGAACTACTTGAGCAGGTCTCCCTTGAAAAAGAGATCAATGATCTCAATGGGATTCATCTGTATAAATAAAGGTTTGAAATGAAATGAAAAAATGAGAGTGGGTCTGCATTGCGTGCATGGCTTCCTTCTGTAGATAACGGGGAGACGAGCTCTCGCGGTGGTCTCGTTATAACATTTAAATATTTTGCACACTTATTCCTAGTCTGCCACTGGTTACAGTGCCACGTGCCAACGGTGGCACGCTTGCCAGGGGTTGCCGACTCCTATCCTAGATGTAATCTTGGGATCTTTTAAAGGGGCCTGAACCCTAGTAAAAATATAAGCAGTCCTTAATTTAGATTATATAATACATTATAGATGTATTATATAATCTAAATGTATTGTGCATGCAGAAATATTCTTGGACATTTCTTTATTGATATTTAAACTTATAATAAAATATCAGAAAACTTCACTGGTAAATGCTTTCATTTTATTTGAAGTGTTGCAACATTGAATTTAAATTATGATTACATCTCTGGTAATAAAAACATGAATCAAAATGTATTTTCATGCTTAAATCAATAAGCAGGCTTGTTTGTGACTGTTTGTCCCAGAAAGTATTTACAATATAACAATGGCAACAGTAGGTTGTATAATTATTCTACAGAAGCTACATAATAGGTTTAGCTTAATGGCTTATTTGTTCTGGGTTATGTTAATACAGCACATTATAATTAATGCTATTGTGGTAAACAAGAAGAGATAATTGAGCCGTTGTGCTTTGGCTAACAAAAAGGTCACATTGGATGTAATTCAAACTTAAATGCTGCATGATCAGTGAGGTACCTTAAATACAGTACCATACTGTAATCCACATTTAAAAATACTGTACTGTTTGGACACAATAGGAAAAATAAAAGCTATTCATTGTTGCCATAGCTTATGCACTTTGGACACGCTTTGGAATAATGGCGTCTTGTCACCGTTGATAGATAGGATTCAGGCTGCAGATGATTTGTTAGTGATTGATGGGTGTGTCAGAACTCTGCAGCGACTTCCCACCATGAGTGC